CGTTCAGCTATTCATTATATGAAAAACCAATAAGGGATACAGAGACGAGATTCAGTGTTTTATATTGCATGCACATGGAGTTATGGGGAAGAAGTCTACGCAAATGAATGTAGCTAAGGAAATAGAATTTTTATAAAACTATCAGGTTAGGTTAAAGCAAAACGTCCTTCCATTTAAAGCCACAGAAAGATAACATTTCGTGTTAATGATTAAAGCCCCGTTGGAATGCAGACTGGCAGCGTGCCTGCAGTGAAATATGCACAATTACATTTTTCACACATGTAACTCAGACACACAGAGAAAGAGACATGACACATTTATTAAAACTTGAGTTTTACATTTGATTGATGCGCAACATTGATTGACAATCATCATCCAGTCGGTAAATATTTTTGTTTTAAGTATAAAACCATTTGAAAATACACTTTTCAATTCAAATGTTACTGATTGCTATGTGAATCCGCACGGTGAAACAACTGTATTATAAAAGTCGCTCAGCTGAGAGACACTGGGAACAGGTGTGTCCTCTTTTCTATAGCAGTATGAATAATGCTTGCATGATAGGGTTTCATTGAAAGCTTATCATTGAATGTGGCAGCAGTCAGCCCTACTGTAAGTAGGAACCACAAAGTTTCCAATACAATTTCAGTGGTCCTCAACTGCAAGGTGGGCCTCCCTGTGTGGGTGCAGCACCAGAGGAAGAACATGCACAATCAAGGGGTAAAAAGCTTGTCAGTATTACTGTGCTGACCTTCATATGACTGAAATTCAACTAGAATCTCTGTCCCTCTTTTTTTAAGTTCCTTCCTCATCGATGTTAATGAGTGACAGAAACCGTGCACGAGCTCTTGCAAGGGAAAGGAGGTGGGGGTGGATAAATTTATTTTTAAGTTGAAGCATGCCACAGAATGTTTGTGAACCACTGTCCTATTAAAACATTACCTGTTAACTCAACGGTACCGGGATTAAATACACCACTTCCCTCTAGAAAGAAATACATGTTTTGCAATAATAAGTTTAACTTGTAACTATTTTTTTAATTGCAACTATTTACAATAAAAAAAATGGGTAGCTTAAGTTAAACACACTAGTAAAGTAGATACATTTGACTCCCTTAAAAGTTAATAAAACTACATAGAAATGCATACGGTACAAAATGCATCAACCATTTTAAGAGACTTGTCATAGTGATAATAAAGAAATAACACATTGGTTAAGGTGCATTCAGACTGCAAGATTTTAGCAGGAAAAAGCTTTAGCAGGATATTAAGTTTGAGGTATGCCGATCGCACAGTGATAACACCTCCTGAATCCTACGCTACAACGAATGAGTGCAATTTCTCCACCACTCTTCCATCGTATGTGCCAACATTTACCTGGCATGACTCAACTAGACCTTCTTTTGGAATCTCAAACATTTCTTTTTGCATGTTTTACCTCAAAATCTATTTGTCTGCTTTGGCATTTCTACAATTGCACCATCACATTGTCTCACGCTACACTTACATTGCTCATTTTGGGTTTGTTTGTTTTTTAAGTTGTCAGATTTGTTTCTGAGGCTACTTTTGGTCACAAAACTGTCTCAACGCCCAACTTGGGACTTCTCTACTGGTGCAGCGTAGGACTGTCATTCTAGAGCCAGAGGAACAACTATCCTTTAACACTGGTCATGTTAATGAATGTCTGCGTCTTTGGGAAATATAGTTTGCTTTGGGGAGTATAGCTTGGCTTGGTTTAAAGGTACAAAATAGCTGTAGGATTATATATAAAGTGAAGAGAGTAGCATCAGTCTTCTCAGATATTGCTCAGCAATAAAGAAATAATCCTGGTTTTCAAAATGTAAAAAACTACTCATTGTAAAAAGCTCTTTGAAAATGATCTGAATGCAAACGTTTTCTGCGACGCTTTCAGCCGTTTGTTCATTTGCTCTTAGTTGTTTCTTCCCGTCATCTCGCTGTGTGATTGTCAAAGAAGGACCCAAAGTCTTCAGTCTCATATGTGTACTGTGAAATAAAGCTGCTGCTTTTGTTGTAGCACCAGGCCAGTTTGGCATCCACGATTGAGTCCTTAAAGCCAGCAATACTTGGGCTCATAAGCATTTTGTTCCTCTTGGCACGTTTTACAGAGTTACTGAATGCCATATTTTGTCTCCAGTTCCTCAGCTGCTTTCCCCAGGTGCATATTTCTTAGTTTTTCTAATAATTCATTGAACAGTGGCCTGTGCAGCATTCCACCTCGTCCTCCTCCACCTGAATGTAAGGCCCACACCCGCAGCATCTGGTAGTGAGCCTCCCGGCAGGATCGGTGATCCATCTCTGCTTGTTCAATCTCTGTATCAGTCACACCAAGACAACGCACCAGCTGCTTCACCTGCACCACAGGTACCAGATCCAGGACGGCATAGATCAGCTCAGAGACTGTTGGGGGGAGAAATGAATAGGGGTATTGAGCAAAAGCGATACAACTGAGCACTTTTTGTTGAAGCTTGCACACTGGACCTCTGATGAGGAGCTATACACTCACGATTGATTTCCAGCGGGACACAGTCAGGCAGTTTGGACGTCTCCACTTGGGCCACAGAAGTCTGAGGAACCTCTGTCACAATGGTCTCCAAATGTTCCTCACTCTTCACCAAGACCTGCTATAAAACAAGAGCAGATCCTATTTATTTTCTGCAGATTGTAGACCGAACTAAGAAAAGTAACGACCGGCAGTTAAATCAACGTACCTCACAAGATTCCTGGGAAGCATCAGATCGCTGGGAGGACCGTAGTAGCCTTTTTTTGGTTTGTCGTTTCGTGATCACATACGTCATTAAAACCACCGACACCATCAACACTAATATTCCAGCTGCAGCTCCAGCAATTATATTGACAATAGAGTCCAGTTCATTGGGCGTATTTTCTTTTGAAGTAGCTAGAAAGTTACAGAAAAAAAAATAGATCCATATTAAAACATAAGAAAAGAAAATGTACAGAAAATGTAAAGTTTTACTGGAGTTGAGAATTGAAAAAACATACATTATGTCTTAGTCAACAAAATTATTAATAATATTTTAATATGCTTAAGTACATCTATGATTATTCTATTTGCTCACTCTTTTGTGAGAAAGAGGGCCTGGTTGGTGCTCACCTATTGTGGGTTTTGAACACAAGTGGTTGCACTGAGGAGAGCAACTGTGGAGAAGAGAGAACACATTTCATAACACGGACGAGGAAGTAGCACATCTTAAAGAGGAAACGATTCACATGACAGCCAAGATGCCTTTTTTACATCATCATATGAATTCAAGCAATTTCATTTTCACACTTTCAGTACTGTTTCAAAGTTACCACTAAGCAAGTAATTAGTGTTGAATTAACACTTATTCAGCTGTCACAATCACTACTAATTGCTACATTTATTTGTTAGAAAGAATGTAGCTCGGGATTGTTGAAAGTACGGGCAGTAAGTTCCCCTGGGCTCTCAGGTTTTTTCCCATGATAAATACCACTGTACCTATCCACATGCTAAATTATTAACTAACACAAAATGTGGGTTGCCATGATTTTTACATTCATAATTCTATTTTTTTAAGTATAAGACATCCACATAAGACATCTGTCTACATCGGCTTGACTCGAGTGTTTCTAAGACTTATAAACATTTACTTCCTCCCTGAGTGGGACAGACAGACCGTGTGTTTAACAAATGAGAACTTGTTCAGTGACTGTTCACATCTCAGGTTTTCATGTGTCATAACTTCTCTGTTGCCAACAAATGGAAAGACTGAACACGCTGAGAAATGTGCTGAGAGTTTCAATTCTACAAACACACTTCCCCGTTAACATTTAAACAAACAATCCCAAACAGTGAAATAGGAACAATGCGCACACACACAAAGCTCACATACAACAGTCGTATGCTCACCTCTCGCACAGTTTGCACTTGCCGTTGTCTTTGTAGTAATTGTCCTTACATCTGCACACAGTGTTATTATCTGGTGTACCTGTGAACAGCAAGATTGTTTCTATTTAGACTCACATGAAGAAATGCATTATGGGCCATGACTGGGTGGGTACTGGAATAAGTTAAGGCTTACATTTCTGCATTTCCACTTCATCGGCTTTGCACGTTTTACATCTGCGACATTCAAAGGTTTCGCTGTCAATTCTAATCTTGTAATATCCATCTTTACATCGACACTTAGTGTTCTGGTTTCCTAAACATGGCGACACCTGGATTTCATTCTTTAAAGCTGCAGAAAGGAACGCACACACACACACAAGAAAATCAAGTAAGGCAAACCTGAAGCTGAAGATATACTTCTAAATCTAACATGTTAGACTGAGTCAGGAAAGGATAAAGTTGCTCTACCTTTGCAGGTTCTGCAAGGTAGGCAGTTGGGGGAGTAGTTCATAAATTCTAAGTACTGTCCTCCTGGACACTGTGTGCAGGTTGATCTCTCTTTGGGACCATGACATTTTTCTTGAAGCTTAAAACCTGAAAACAGGAAAATTACGTGTAAAAACAAAAAGTTAGCTTGATGATGTCTCAGATTATTTGCTTGTCACTGTGAATATATATGATATGCAGTGGCTCATCCAGTACCTGGACTGCATTTGTTGCAACATATTCCATCTTCAGTGTGAAATTCGTCAGGTTTACAGTTCTTATTAACTTCCTGTGACTCTGGTAACGATGCCAAAGTGGTGATGAACATGCACTAAAACAAAGAATTTACAATGAATATCCAAAGAGAAGTTCCCAACAAGGGAATTTCTCATTTCTTCATGCAGTGACCTTTAAGGTGTTCTCACCATCAGGCAAAGTAAGGTGCCAAAAGAGGCTTTTTTACTCCTCTGTCCTCTGTGCCGAAGGGCCTCCATAATCAAAATGACCCAAAGTCCACTAATTTGAGGAAGTGTAGTTGCATAGCATAGCTGCTGCACTCCATCAGCCCCCAATCCTCGCACTGGCCCCTTGGCTGCTGTGTAGGATTGCGGTCTGTTCTCTGGTCAGCTGAATGGTAATTAACAAAAAGGATTTTAGGAATAGGCACAGTACAAAAATCATAAAGCAGGATTTTGGCAGAGAGCAGAATGCATTTTAAAGCTCTAATCGCATCAGCCGCTACCATGTTTGCTTGTTCACTTTAGAACTACTCATATGCTACAGTATTGTGTCATAACATTAAGACATACTGTGCTTTTATCAGGTGTTATGGTTGCATAAATGCTAAAAATGTGCTATTTAATCCAGTTGGTAGGTGAATGCTAGGCAACAAAATGACATCATAACATCTGATGATAGATAAGAACCCCGAGACCTGCCAAGTTTGGTTGCTCAACTCCTGATAACATAGAAGGAGTTTGCATAGAGATGTGGAGCATTATTAAAAATTATTTTTTTACATTTAAATTAGCAGAAGTGAAACAAAGTGAACCCCGGGTTCACATTGTGTCCATAGACTTGTATTGGACAGAAATTTTAAATAGATTAGATGAAATGATGTGTGTGGTAGAGGCTGAATTATCAGAAGTGGTTTTCCCAGCATGGTGAGAAGATGAAACGAAACTGTCTCCAAGCCGCTGCACAGGTAATAATTTATCTCATTTATCTCACAAATGTAACGCCACAGGTATACGGATATGTAACGCGTGCGGGGGCTGAGGCTGCAAATGTTTTCGCCTGGATTTTTTATTAAAGCTGACTATTAGCAGAGCGGTGCTTTATACAATCCTACACATAATACTGCACATTATGCATCTTCTCCCGTTAACAAGCCCTTAATTCAATGAATTTAAACACCTTAAAGAGGACGGGTTTGGGTGTGACTACTGTGAAGTCAGTGTGATCCCTAAAGAAATAACTCACAGAGAGACTGATTTTGTGCTCAGTAAACGAAGGTCGCATATCTGCGCCACTTGTTTGGGCAGCTTCCCTCTTCGCTTCCCTGTCGCGGTCAAAGGCTGAGATTAGAAACTTTTCCGAGTGTTTTTAAGCGCAAAAAAACTCGACGTGTCTTATTTTTACGTATTTACAGATAACACTGACGCGTTTGAGAACTTAATCTGCACTTTTCATTTAACTTTTTTCTTGTCACTGGTTTCGATTTAACTACCCACCACACAAACGCCCACCACAGTCTGATATGAATCGCTCCTTCCCACAGACACACTGCTTAGATATTTAACCGTCACTTACCTGGACAACCACCGTCACTCTGAGGAATATTTCTTAACCTCAGCTCCTTGCGTGAAAATCGGCATTTCAGTTACTGAAGTACACATATATATTTTAGAGAAAGCAGCGCGACAGAACTGCTGCTGCCCAGTCTCTGAAGAGGGGAGGCGGTCTCAAACGGGAAATGCTGTGACGCGCACGTTTCACAGGAATTAGTTTCACAGGCAAACTGGCAAAACTGCACCTGAGGTTCAAAAACACAACAAACCTGTAGGAAAGCCGTTAAACCAGCAGACAAGTCAACTTCAGTTCAATAAGGACAATAACAAGAATCATAAAACACTTGGGATGTGGAGCTATCTGTAAATAAAAGCACACTACGATCATTTGCAGCTTTTTAAAAAAAATGAATTGGAAATTTCTACATTAAAAAAAGATATTAAATTAAATTTTAGACTATATATACACAGATATCTAAGGGAACAATCCACAACCTAAAACATAGAGTTAAACATCGATAGGCCAGTAGCTTGACCGGATAAAAAGAGTATCTCGGAGAGAGGGTGATTTAGTCTTTCCCAAATACAGGGAGGGGTTCACCTCGGTGCGAAAGACTGCGTGGGCTAGTAGTTCATACTAGCATTGCATTGTAGGTTTTCATATTCAGAACACCTCTGTATACAAGTGGCAAGGACTGCAAGCCGCTGCACGTCCACGCACCAGTGTGAGTGCTAAAATCTGGCATCCATCCATCAGTCCTCCATCGTAGTGGCAGCAGACTAAGCAGGATATTCCAGACAGTCTTCTCTCCAGCAACGATTTCCACTTCGTCATTGCGGGGGAGGGCATCGTATATATCAAAATATTGAACAACACCCCTTAATCTTTTAGCGCCATTAAGGAATCACAGAAATTATCTATGAAGTCGAGACCAAGTGAAGTTACAGAGTGCTGAGCCACACTGTGCAGAAAAGTCTCCAACGCTCCGCTGACTCAATAACTGCAGAGTTAATGGCCAAACAGCTGTAATAATAACGTGTAGGTGTAGGTGGCTCAGTATTTATGTATGTCTCAAACGGGTTCTGGGTCTTTCTGTGCGTCTGCTCACAGCTGGGCAAGCCCGTAAACCTCCCAAAGGACGGACCCAGATAAAAAACATAACCAAAGAAGATCCAGAAGCGTTTTGGGGCCTGAGCTGTGATCTAATGAATGAAAAGTAAAAGATTGCCTCCCAGGGGGTAAAGAGGAATTTAAAAGCCAGCACAGTGATGAAAGGGAGGGGACATTACTACATATCATGTATGTAGCTTTCACATTTGTGTCACAAGTACCATCATTGCAGGCAGGTGCTGCCATCTGCTATGGATGCTTAACTGACCTCTCTGCAGGCCATGTTGTTTACATTATTAAGGTGTGCCAGCTGCTTTTTGTAAACGGGGTTGCTTATTAACTACTCTTTAATTAAAGACAACGTTGAAACGTTAAAAAACGGTCTGAGGGACCCAGGGTCCCTGAGCAGTTGTGGACCTTTTTATATTTTGTGTGTGTGTTCACTGTTATTTTTTTCCGTGTGTATGTATAGGGAGGTGTGTGTGTGGTTGTGGCTGTAACCAGGAGGCCGGGCTGCAGGCTGAAGATTGCTGGCCACGCCCGAGGAGGATGCCACACACCGTCAGCGGATCAGCATCGGCGGAGGGAGCTACTTAATAGTGTGGTGAAGCCTCCACCGACGCAGGATGATTCTGTCACGGTTTGCCAGGGCAAGCCGTGGGGATGTGGAGGAAAATAGGACCCAAAACGCTAACGGCGCGTTTATTTACAGTGCGATAAATGATAATACATCCCCGTGTTGTGTCTTCTTCCCAGCTTCTGTCAGGGACCTGGGTCTGGGCACGTCTTTCACTTTCTTTCCACACTTGCAGTCTATGACATTCGTCTTGCTCTCTTCTGCTTGAATGTGCCAAAGATCTGAAAATGTCCTATAAAGGGATGAACCTTTAATACCTTTGTATCATTTTACTCCTAAACGAATCACCAAATGAGTGGACGCTGAGTGGTTAAGCCATTACTTTGAAATCATTAGTTATTCTGGAAAGGACCTGATAAAAACGTCTTTGCATACTGTGAAATTGACTACAGAGATTAAGCATAGGCTGTAAGGCAAGTATCACTTAACTATATTTATAGGCACCATAATTTTTAAAAGAGCATCCTGTAGTAGACCAGTCCTTTATTAAGGAGGCCAGCAGAGCGTTACCTCACGCGACTTTGCTATTACAGTATACTAAAGAGCTCATTCAGCAGAGCAAGACAAGTGCTTCCTCAGAAAAACCACATCCTTCCTTTATAGTTAGCAACAAAAAAAGCATCTTCATCTCTTCACTCTTCCTCCTCCCTCTCACCCAGTCTTCCTCTGTGTCACACATAAAGTGTCACTTACACTAACCCGTTTGGCATACATAGGTCTTTGCAGAAATGCACATGCAAATAGACTGTTGATTCCCCCACACAGTCTTCTAGTCCAGCTGTGAGGACTGACTGGCTCATCTCTGACTCAGCATGCAGATTTTGTCAACTAAAAAGTGGCGTTTATTTATCTGTTTACTTCATAACAAAAGAGTCAACATGTTCCTGGCACAAGAACTTTTGAAGTTCTGTTTAGACGTATCAACTCTTACGGTCAAGCATCAATACTGATACTGAAACCTCAAGATAAGCATGACCAGTTTTGCTGTAACCAGTTCATGATCAGCCATGGTCTTGTTGCACAGTCATCTCTCATCCAGTCATCTCTGTATTCTGTTTGAGTGTTGCTACTCAGCTATAGTCACACTTGTCACTTGAGGCTGCCCCTATTTCCTTAAACCTAGTCCCCGTTTCACTGTTGAAAGGAGGTCACGTGCTGTGGCTTGGTTTCTGTGAAAACTGAGGTCAAGTATAGTAATTATCGCTGGCTGGCAGCTATCTACACACTAATGGCATTTTGTCAGTTTTTGCTGATTAATGTTCTCACACCTACGCTACCAGTTACACCAATAATAAAGCAATTAACTAGAAACATATCATTCTTATCATTTACAGCACGGTTTTACCCCCGTCTGGAAAATATACCTTTTGTTTCAATTCAGAAAAAATACACTCAACCTTCAGATAACAAACTGAAGTGTGCATGAAACTAACAGAAGACAGACTAAGACTTCATACAAGGATATCAATGAGGTCCACACCATGAACAAACGAGCTGCTGGATCCAGATGAATGTCTGGATCCGGATCGTTTTTTTAATATTGTGATTATATTGAGAGTCTATCTTAAACATGATGCCTCACTTTTTTTTTTTGTTATCCCACTTCAGAAGTGTGTGTGAAGCTGTGATGTGAAATGCCCAATTTTGTCCTATATCAAAATGTCAGCCTTTAAAAAAACTCAGCTAGTTTGCCCAGTGTGTAAGGTGTTTTTTTTTTTTGACTTTCTATTAGGTTTGTTTAATGTTTTATATCATTTCTTGTTTTTTTACTCTTAGTAAATTTAGCCCCATTCTTGGTTCCTAGTTGCCTTAGCTGTAATCCTTCCTGTGTTCCCTTTCTGCTATGTCAAGTCTTGTGCATTAAATTCATTCACGTGTATGTCTTCCCTATTTAATTATCACATTTCCCGTTTTACTTTGAGAGTTAGAATTCCTTGTGCGTTGCCTTTATTTTTGCTTCTTGTACCTTGTTTTCTGTCTGATTTAGTTCACCTGTGTCTTATCTCCACTTTCCCTAATTACCCTTCTGTGTATATTGTCTGTGTATGTTTCTGTTCTCTTTCCCAGTGGTCCCGACCTCTGGTGTTTCTGGTGTTTGAAGGCCTTAGTGTGCTTTCAAGTCTTAGGTTTCAGTAGTTATAGTTTTCAGTTTCCTTTGTCCCTCATGATTCACATTTGTACAACCTTGACATCAGTCTGCAGTAAACAGCTCGCTTTTTGTTCGCCTCAGTCTGCCCGTCATTTGGGTCCTCACACTCAAGCCCCTGTGACAGTCCTGGCTCTAAATCTGACTCCAAAACTTAAAATTGTAAATTCACCCATGCTCCACTTTTGGTAACATTTTTATATTAATCAGTCCTTACCTTCTGAGTAATCCAACTGACAACACACACACACGCACACGCACACACACAGCCAATAATTTCCTTGGTAGAGGTAATAATGCCAGTAGATATAAAACAATAAATTCATGCCTTAGCATGATTACACGTCACACCATTTAAAGAAACGCGCATATTATCCTTTAATTGCTCCAATGTGTATATGAGTTGATAAAGAATAACATAACTGTTTCTTAACTTGCACATTATTCTACAGAAACATTTTGGTTTTTTGTCAGCCAAATGTTTATATTTGAAATGATAAAAAATTTTGTAATGAGCAATTTGGGACTTATGCATGCAATTGGCATTGCAATGTTTTCAATCCTCATAACATTACACGCCTTCTCATTATCACAAAGTAATTTCTTGGAATGACATTTTTCTCATTAACACCTTTCTATAAGAGTAAAAAGATACCTATGAGGTAAACGATGCCTTACATTAAACGACTTCATCATCCTGTGCTAAGAAGAGGCGAGAGAGAGCGAGAGTGGCAGAGGTGAAAGAGAAAACGAGAGAATAAAAAGCATCAGAGTGCTCGCAGCAAAAGCAGATTTTGGAGGAAACGAGAGAGATATGATGATGGAAAAATGTGGAGGCTGACGGGGGGTATGTTGCTGTGCACAGCCAAGGTGGTCTCCAAAAAGACAGGAGAGAGAGAGAGTGGGACAAGGATGTTGAATGTTAATATGTCAGGTTTTCAGGATGAGTCATCTCTGACATTTTATGAATAGTCCCTTGACACATTTCTCGTCCCCTGCTCAGTCTCAGGCTCAGAGGGTCCCAAGTGACATCTTGCTAAAACCTCTCCTCCACAGTAAGTAAAGATTTTCACAGCATGTATTTTCAGCTATAACTTTATCAATTTGAATGTTTTAGTAGAGCCTTGTAACCTGTTTGCATTAGGATGTAAAGCTGGTCTCTCTTAGTGTTGTATTTTGTATGTGTTTTATCATCAGTGTGTTACAGGCTTTTTTAGAGTTTAAAATGTGTGTCCTAACATATTTAGGCAGCCTGACTACCGAATTCTTTTTCTCAGAACGGAAGATGTTATGATATTTATCATCTTTAATCTTTAGTGTGTTTCACTGAGTGCCTGCTGGGATTGTTATGTGAATACATTTGACAGAATCATGATAGTAATACTTTTCCTCCTGTCTCTGCTTACTCCCCTCCTTTTCCTCCTCCTCCTCCTCCTCCTCTTCTTTTCTTGTATGTTTCTTCCCAGATGCGGCCACTCTGTTTTATTTTACCAATACTGTGCTTCCTACCTTTGCTATCTTCTAACCCTGTAAAGCCCACTTGCAGTCCAACACAGTACAGCTGGCCATATATATCACCTACGTTTTGTTGTGAAAAGTGCCCTGCAGGTACAGTAACTTCCTCACATCCCATTAAAGCTCATGGCTGTGATGTCAACAGTAGTGCTTTAACTGCAAACTGATGTTTCATATATTCCAGGTGAGTTTATGGCCAGACGCTCACAGAAAAACTGTGACCATAAATGTGAACACTGTGAAGCTGGGAAATACACAGCCGGCTACAACACGGCGATGAACTGTGAATTTTGTGACAGCTGCAGTAAACGTGAGTAACTTCACATCTTTAGCTTTGGGCGTGGAGGCGCTACAGTACATGTGAGGATTTGAAATGTGTGAAAACTTTAAGGCAATTTTTAGACTGACAGCACAAAGAGCTTTAGTGGCAGGAATGATGACGTAGTGGGTTTTACGACTTACACGTTTTTCTACAGACACATTGATTCGAGCTCTTGTACATAGATATTCCCGCTAGAGCGCACCTGTTATCTTTTAAGCAGATAGAAGAATGACAAAGCATTACAGTAAAAATACTACTCAGGACCCCCCCTCCCCTTGTTATAGTGAAACATGTGGTTGCTTATACATTTTGTGTTAGTGTGTGAGCTCTATCATGCTCTCTCTTGATGTGAGATGTGTGAGTGAGTCATTAACTCTCTGTCGACCTGACCACTGCATTTGACCAATGACTCCACAGAATTTTGACAAAGTCAGACTGCTAGCTGTTTCTCAACTCAGGATTTCAGAGAAGTTTGCATATACAAAACTTACGCAAGGGGATTTCCCATTTCATGTATCAACGGGGGGATACAGTCAGAAGGAGATGAAAGACAGAAGGGGAAGAGAAGGGGGTCTGTGAAACCAACTGTGAGCCAGCACTGGGGTTTAATATGATGAGATTCTGCAGCAGAAGTTTGTGTTTACACAGTAATCTCGACATGGTCTGCGGCACAGCCCACCGAGACAGGAGGAGGATGAAAAAGCAGACCATCTTCATGTCAGTGGAAAAAAGAGCAAAATACCAAAAAAGCAGCAAACAGCGGAAAGAGCAGAAATGTCATGTCCTATGTTATTATTACTCAGGGCTTTGTGCTGGTACAGGTGAACAAAACAGCATGTCGTGCCTTTTTTAAATGTCACTGTGGAAAACAGACAAGAGAAAACACAGAACTGAGACAAATTTGAGTTTCTCGGTCTCAATTTTGGCTACATGTGCATTTTAGCTGAATTTGACTTTTTTGTGTGTCAACCAAGAAGCCTTTTTTTACACATATCATAACCAAAGGGCTCACATACCTTTTCCAAATTACAAACCAGATACATATAGACATTTAACATCGACCAAACATCTACTTATTGTTTATACACCTGCACATTAGAACAACTGTTTACATTTCTTCAGCAGAGGAAGGTGGGCGTTCAAAGCACAAGAAGGGGCTTTATACCAATTAACGGCTATGGAAATAATTCAGCCCACTCAAAAACTTTGCATAGCAGAGCAGTGATATAAAAAGTGCTTCTGTGTTGTTGGTGCCAATGATTTGTTGGTGATGATGATAAGAGTTTGGATGTGTGGACCTCAGAGGGCTTCATGGAACAAAATGCTTGGTTACCTGTTCTCTTCTGTTTACTACTCTGTATGTTTATGCTGCTTACTGCTCTCACTGCATTTTAATTCATTATTATAAGACAGCAGAGTAAAACAGTGCTGAGCACACACGTAAGAGTCGCTGCCAGCTTTAAAATGTCCACAGTCCTCGTGTTGTGACCTCAGCTGGTCATTTTATAGTAATCTGTCTGGAAAAAGTGAAAATATTTTTATTCTGCTTGTGGACCGCTGTTGGCTGGTGAGCTTTTAAGACTCTGCATGTTGTGCTACGTCCCTCTGTAACCCTAAATGCCACAAAATGATTTCTGTTTACGATTTTCACTTTGTGTGTTTGGTTTTGGGATGACTGTGACTCTTTGGAAGTCATATAAGTAGTTCGCTGATTGCTAATATGTAACATCAGATTGAGGTGTGCACACTAAAGCATCATTTAAGAAAGACCTTGTTTCATCAAACTGAAATTCTCTAAAGAAGAAGCACCAGACGTGATAATATAACGGTCTTATGACTTCAAACCAGAATCTTTACCTGTCGTGCCCAGTTTTGTGAGTCATTTCACATTTTCAGTTTTATCACAAAGACATCCTTTGCACACACTTTCAACTTTATCCGTCTTTAAATCACTTTTAACAATGACCGTGTTTTTCCACAGCAAACATGGAGGTCAAGACAGAATGCAATCCGACTCATAACACCGTGTGCACATGTAAGGCTGGCTACAAGTGCAAAGACCAAGACTGTAAAGAGTGTGTATTGATACCAGCCACAGTCAAACCCACCGTCCCTCCATCTACTACTGGTAAGTGAGCCCTTCTCGGCACAATCAACTAAATGTGAAACAATTGTTGACACAGTGGTTATCATTTATTCATTGCAGTGTTTTGTTTTGAATAGTTTCAACCATAACACACTTGAGGGCCACGTGCAGCATCACATTCTCATTAAGGAGCTTTGTCCTTTTGCATTCTTTAATTAACAATTTGCTACAGATTATCAGTGTAAAAGCACAAAAAAGAACATTGTAGATGCGTTGCCCAAAGACATAAGATCGGAGACTAATTTAACACTACCATGAAAAGCAATAACATAACAGATATACTCATCTTTTACACCAAAATGATTTAGGCGTCAAACTTGTCTGAGTGTACAGGCTGAACCACAAAAGGGCAGCAAATGCTCATTTTTCATGAGAAGTTACTCATTTAACTACATCTGGGAATATAACTTCTTTTTATTTAAAAATACTCCTGAGAACCCATGAGTTCAAATGCCTTATTTTATGAAAACAAGACTGAAAGTAGCTCAGAGTAATAAGTTTGTTAAAAGAAACTGTTTATTTACATGTATGCACAAGAGCATTTACTAGCGTGTTTGTCTGGATCCAGTGGGGTACCTACAAACAAGGAAACATTCACACTCAAAAAATATTCATGCCCAAAGTGGTGACGTTAAGTAATCTGATTACATGAAAACATTCAGTTACGTAAGTACAACGTAAAATGTTCAAATTAATGGAATCTGGCCAAATGAAACTTACATTGAGCTCCCTAAAAAAAATAAATCACAATTAATGAATTAAATGAATAAACCTTTGATTTGATATACTTCAGTTTCATTTTGTGTTTATGAGGGCAAAGACTAATTTTTTGAGTGCATATTTTAACCCAAAGAAAAGAAGATATCAACACAAAAGTACCACCAGGATATTGTAAAGCAGCACTAACGTCAAGACTTGCTTAGAGAAACCCAATCATAGATAGTCATCACCCACAACCCTACAGAGGTCAGTCAGCTCTATGTGGCCTTTTAGCATCTTTCAGCTCGTTGTTTCTAGTTTTTAAAGTCTGCCAGTAATGAGTTTAGATGCACTTAACGCTGATGTCATCCACCTTAAACCCAGTGTGTCTGCGAGGGACAAGTATGCACTCTGAGGTGATAACATCAGTGTTTAAAAAGTGTTTAAAACAACAACAAATTAAAAAATAAAATATTTGTTATCGGATCGCATTTTTCATGAAACACAATGAAGAAATGTTGTTTACAACTTACAGCTTAAACAGATTTTTTTTAATTATGGTTACGTTTTGGCACCATCAGCACTTCACAAAGGTTAGGGAATTTACTAACTTCATGTGAAGTGCTTGAGTTGCCTAAACCTAACCACAGAGGAGAGCACAGACACAGGTGAGAATATGAGAATTGTGCACTTCTCTTGTCTACCTCAACAGCCTCCTGGCAAAGCTCTGCGCAGTGCTTAAAAAAAATTTCCTTTCATGCCTCCATCCCCCCTACAACATAACTCAGTAACAGTGTAGCAATCCATGATAACAAGTTCTAGAAGACAGGCAGATTTAGGGGTGTAGTACATGAATCTGTTAACTGATTCAAAGTCTTAATGTCGTGTCCTGTGTTATTATCACTCGGGGCTCTGTACGAGGGCAGGTGAGCAAAACAGTCTGTTGTGTCTCTTTTTTTAAATGTCACTGTAGAGGCCCTAGTTGTAGCATGTGTTTTCCTGTACTGTAATCCTGCCTACATACAGTAATGTGGACAGGTCATAGTCAGAATCCCTAAAATGTTTCTGATTCAGCTGAAACTGTTACATGACTAAAAATAATCCAAACAAATGAGCTGTTAATAATGCTTGGAAGCTATTTGCATGTTCTTGTAACTGTTTGCCTCTTCTGTAGTAACCGTGGAGAAAGGACACACACATTCAAACACACACACACACACATACACAAACACATGATGAAATAAGTTAAACATTAGGGACAAAAGAGTGAGCTCACTGACAAATCCAAGCCACAATAGTGTCATCTTGTCATCGAACTAATAATGCCTGCAGTGAGCTTATAAGGTTCTCTTTTTTTTATGTTTCCCTCTAGTGGCGACACCTGATGTTACCACCACCAGGCTCGCCACTAAACCGATTGCAGGTAAAGTAGCCAAATTGTGTTGCCTGTGAAATTATTGAACTGATGTAAATTATGGAAACTAACTCTCTCATGTGTTATTATAGATACGGTGTGGTTCCTGGTGATAATTGCCCTCCTGTGTACAGGAATTGCACTGGTTGTTGTGACAAAAATCAAGCCATTTTTAGTCTGGATTAGATTCACTCACGGTTAGTAGATTTCTTTTAAATCACTTAATATTTTTCTTAGAACTTTTCTGTTATAAATACCCCCAAATGTTTAAATTCTTATTAAAACCATCCCGTCATTTCTTGCTGCTTAGGGTACTTCTTGGCTGAAAAACCTGCCACACAACCTGCATGTGATGAAGAAGTGTCCAAGCCCGTCCAGGAAGTGTGCGGGAAATGTGACCAACCTATGTGTTAAAGACCAGATCTGGAATTTGGAGGAGCGAGAACCTAACAAGACACTCGGTGGCACATCCCAGATGGAAAACATTCGCCACTGCTTTTGGACATTTAAATGGAGCTAAAAGGCACTCCGCGCCGTGCTGATCAGTGAAATGCCAGAAGGTGGAAAGTTTGAGACTGTTGCTGTTTCCTGAGAGGACAGATGATCATTTTGGCATCTGTGACTTTGAAGTGTATAAAATTGTGGTGGGTAAAAATCTTGGAACTGATAAGACAGAGGGGACATTGTGGCAGTGAAAGGAAAGTATGTACTATAGTACATAAAGTTAAACATATTTCATGTATATCTACATATATGTGCAGACATAATTAGCTGCTTTTGTAGCCAGCTTTTCAATATCACATGTGGATGTTCTGTGTACATTTTTTCTTCTATTTCTTTTTCATTTAAAATAAACTTAATAAATTTGACTAAAACTACCTAATAACTACCTAACAAAGCTTTCTACACCTTGGATGGCATTCTTTGCACTGAGCCAAAGAAGCTTATTAAAAGTATATACAAGAGTTCGTAAATCATAACTTACAAAGAAGACCACTTTGCAGCTGTTCTTCCGAGATTTAATACATTTCTGAGGTGAGTGTTTTCCAGAAGCTGCAGAAACAAAGTCAGTGCATCCGCAGCTTGCTGAGGAAAGACGAATATGATCCATACTCATCTGTGGTTTCAAAGTTTGTTGTATCCAAGTCTTCTGAATTTTTTGAGATGCATCATAGGATCTCCTCTTTCGACATGTGGGAGTCTTTCCCCTGCTCCTGGGAAGGGAAGAAAATGGTGTCATTCTCTCCACTCCTCTCCTCCTCAGAGAGATGAATGCTGGGAGAAGATGCAGGATGAAACACTGGACAGTTTCTCTCATCCTCTTCCTCTCTCCTCGCTCTCTCAGCTGTCTTCCCGCATTCGGTCGTTGGCCCGACTTGACCCGTAAATTGACTGAGCAAGCTAAAGATGACTGTGCCTGGATTGTGCACATGGACCGGACCTACAGGGAGAAAACAAGAGCAGAGAATGCATCAAAGGATGTTTTTAGCAACCTACAGAGATACATTAACCTATAATCTACAGAACAGGACAGCTAAGTGCAACTCGGACTCATAACGGTATCACAGCTGCATCTTTTTGTTTCTAGCATATTTTTTCTCGAGTGAGTCAAGCATTTCACATAAGAAGTCTTCATTTTACTCAGCTGTACCAAGATTGGCTGCTGAAGGTGTTGAGGGCTGCTGCTTTGTACTGAATGAGTCTCTGGGGAACTGATGAGTTGGCTCCCTTGACTTGTGAGAAGCACCTCGCCCTTCCTACAGGAGAACACAACCATGAATTTGGCGCAAACAAAGGAAAAAGGATGTAATCTATGTAAACACATGAGAGTTCATTAGACTTGTACCTCATTCCAGAGCTTTGCAATAGCTGAAAAAACAGTAGATTGAATAATGAGTAATAGGAAACTGGTGTGTTTTCACATTTCATGAGTGGTGACTCAACATGACTTAGCAAAAGCAGTGAAGAGCATATCAGCAAAGGGCATGATAACCCTAAATTCACAGTAATTTCCACACTGATCTTGTTGAACGTTTATTGTTTCTCAGAACTGATTCAATCACAGAGTTTGACAGAGGCGACAGAAAATGAGCACTTCCTGGACGTAAACATCTTACTTTGCCTTATAAATGTCTCATCTCTTGGACGACAGACACAGAACAAGGTGAGAAGGGCCAAAGTTGCAAGGGCACCCACTGGAATGAAAATAGCTGCCAGGTAATGGTTGGCATGACCTATAGGAGAAATAAAAGGATGATTAGTGCTGTGCCTGAAATCTCTCTTTTGCAGTGTAACACATAAAAGCGTTAGCAGCTTTGTACATAAAAATCTAGAGAGAGTTTTTCATTCTATATTTAACAGAAGCAAAATGTTGCTTTTGATTGCTTATCTTTCTCCCAGCTGAGAGTTCAGTCCAGTTCTTTCCATAGATGATTAATTAGATTAACACTGTTGGCTGCATGAACATGACACTTATGTGCAGTGTCAAAAAGCTTTATGTAATTTCCTAAAACATACTCTTTCAATATTTAAAACTCATTTTATAAAATCCAGCCAGGATTATCGGGATTTTCCCTGTTTTCTTTTTGAAACCTGGGCTCCTCGACCGTGGAGTTCAGGATCAAAGTGCTTTGTCTGTACCCATAAGTAGATTCAGTGTGCAGCAGGGAAGTCATCCATCCTCACATGCACATTTTCAAAATGGACGATAGACAAGAAAAATAATAATAAATTCCCGATTAGCACTTTTGCCTCACGACAAAAGGTTCTGGGTTTGAATCCACCGTCTGGCCGGGGCCTTTCTGTGTAGAGTTTGCTCCGTGTCTTTGTGGGTTGACTCCGGCTTCCTCCCACAGTCCAAAAAACATGCACACACTGAGGGTGGCTATAGGTGTGAATCTGAGTGTGAATGCTTTTTTTTGTCCCTCTCTGCATTAGCCTTGCAACAAATTGGCAACCTGTGCTTGGTGTACACCGCCTCACATGCTACGGTAGTTGGCATGGTCTACAGCGATTGCTGGATGGATAAATGTAGAATAACAAAGCTGCTTGTTCATCTGAGTGACGGCTGCTGGAACAAAGCTGCTTTTAAGCACTGTTGTTCTGTACTTTGGGACCAGAGGCCTTTATCTACATGGAAACTGAAAGTCAAAATACAAAAAGTGCATGTCGTCAAAACAAAAAATGAAACCTGTCAATCGCTATACAGTAACTGTCTTGTAGCCAACAGGGATCCTGGGTTCATTTGTGGCTAACGAATCAGAGTGAGTTTTTGTTCTTCACAGATAAATATCCAAACCATGACAGTAACCAAGAGGACAAAACAGACTCAGTAAATCCCATCCATCCATTTATTTCTGGTTATCTGATTCAGGGTGGGGGTGAACCCAGCTGTCACAGGGTAAGAGACCACGTACACCCTGGACAGGTTGACAGTGTCTTGCAAGGCTAACACAGAGAGAGGACAACCACTCACACTCACATTCACACCTACAATGAATTTAGAAAAGACCCACACAGGCAGGGGGTGGACATGCAAACTCCACACACAAAGTTCAGTTTGGGGTCAACAGATGTCCCAAGATATTTATAAAACTGAACGCATTCAATATGACCACTTGTGCATTAGAGCATTTTATAAAATTAGTGATCATCTTTTGTCTTAACCCTTTAGCGTTCTGCTCAACCAATTGGTACACATTTTCGGGCCCTATATCTAACTTTCACTGAAATTGACCTACCTTGTTGAGTCTTTTCTACCAATTGGTTTACATCTGTAATGCCAAAAAAATCCACCAGAAGACACTGTGAATGGAAACTGTTGGCTCTTCTTATACCTCTCCCAACCAGAAGGTCAGAAACAAAAAAACATCCACCATATTTTGAGTGTTTTTGATTAAACTAAGATATAATTTTTTGATATATGATAGTGTTAGAGGACTTACTAAACAGATGTAGGTCACTTGACAGCATTAAAAACGTGAAATTAAATGTTTAATTTTTTTTTTTTAAAGTGGTCAACCAAACGGTTAGCATTCGCACCCTTTATGGTGCGAATGCTAACATAACCTAAATGTTATTAAAATTGATTATTTGCCATAGAATCAGACCACTAGATCCATTTTGTTTATTCATTGCTATTGATAAATCACAGTAAGTGTTAGCACAGCAAGAATATGATAAAATAATTTCCTCAGTAAATCATTTTTGAGTTAATATTCTGAGTTAATATTAGTAAAATTGTAAAAATCAAGAATAACACTTGGAAATCACACATATCACAACTGATTACCTTTTAACCAAATTAGAGTAGCTGGTAAATTAATATTACTAAGTTGTCAAAATTATAATTTCATGTTGAACAATTAGGCTACTATATGGACGCTAAACAATTATATGGCTAAAAATCACATGGTCCTGTGGCATGATACACATGATACCATCCACCTTCAACCACAGTGTGTTTGAGGTCATGGTTTCATAAGAAGCCAACAGGGCTGGCACTCTCCACCAGTATATTGCCAACAAACCAGATGAGTGGGGCTTTAAATTGTTCTGCCAAGCAAGTTCATCTGGCATCATCCACAACTTGCTGCTGTATCAAAGGGGCTCTACATTCTTCAATGCTCCCCTCAGTGAAAAGGAGCAGAAGCTCCCTCTAAGGACCAGGGTTGTAAAAAAAAAAAAAACACTATGCAAACCATAAAAGAGCCTCAGCTCTTCACGAGTTTCACCTTGGTCCAGAACTTGCACACCTCCTTGGGTGTCAGGTGCATTGGTACTGTATGACCGGTGGAGCTCCCCTGATGGCAGACAAAGACCTGATGAAGAAGGGCCATGGAGCCTGTTATTACAGGTCTGATGAAGGTCTGATTGCAATGAAATGGTTTGACAAGAAATGTGTCAACCTCCTAAACAATGCCTGTGGGTTCATGCTTCTTTCATCGGTCAAACGGTGGAGCAAAGAGTCCAATGCAAAGATCACCATTCCATGCCCATCACTCATCCCTGTATATAATTAGCATATGGGAGGAATTAAGCTTTCTGATAATAATAAATAATAATAAATAATAATAATAATAATAATAATAATAATGGATTGGATTTATATAGCGCTTTTCGAGACCCTCAAAGCACTTTACAATTCCACTATTCATTCACTCTCACATTCACTCACTGGTGGAGGCAGCTACAGTTGTAGCCACAGCTGCCCTGGGGCAGACTGACAGAAGCGAGGCTGCCATATCGCACCATTGGCCCCTCTGGTCAACACCAGCAGGGGGTAGGTGTCTTGCCCAAGGACACAACGACCAAGACTGTCCAAGCTGGGGCTCGAACCGGCAACCTTCTGATTACAAGACGAACTGCCAACTCTTGAGGCACGATCGCCCTGATATGCTATTACACCCGTATAAGACAAGTTATAAGTTACAAGTTATGGTGATGGCATAGTCCACTGTTCGGATACATCCTTGACTTGAATACCTGGTCTACAAGAGGGACTGTGCCCTACTGGACCAGAAACCGATGGCTCTCAAAAGGTTTCCACCTGGCTGTGTCTGAACCAAGTTAACAAGCCAGCATCTAGAGTTGGACAACCATGATTCAGCTCTCCCAGACCACAGAATCAATGCTACACCCTAAGACCCCAACGACCGAAACCACAAGCAGATGTGCTTGATTTGCACTGTTTTTATTTTTTAAAAACAAAAATGATTTTGCACACTAGTATTCAATCAGAAGTGGCCTGAATGTGAGTATTTTGTGCTGTAGTACATTAGTCCCATTTGCAGATTAAAAAACTATGTATTTTGTTGTTTGATATAATACTTATCTTTGATGGAATGAAAACAGCAATGTTCACTGGCATGACATTTCATACTTTTACTAAGTGACATTTCAACCATTTGGTGGAGATCAATATTTTAAAAACTACAGGGTCTATTGAAAAAAAATTGATTGTGGTTATTATTCACCCAAATCAATAAGAAATGCAAACAAAAACAATTTCCATTGCTTTTTTCTTGGTGTGGACCTCAAAGGGTTAATTCAGTGGAGCACTGGGTAGTCCCGTTATCCTGTAGCTTACTCACAATAAGTTAATTTGCATACTTTGAGACAATCCTGTTTTCTTACCCGCTCTGACACATTTGTGTATGGTATAACAATAATATTGAAGAGAGTGCGAATCCCCGTAGGATGGCAGTCAAGGAGCAGATCTGATCTCCACAGTGGGGATAAGGTTCATTTACCCAAATTCAAAAAGTCAAGAATTCACCCTACAATATATTTTTAAATCAAATTGTTCTAAACGCCTCCTGATTAAAATATGAAACTGACTTATGTTGAAGAGTAAAGAAAAACTAGCAAACTTTAATAGAGCATGAGACACTTTTTGAGCTGTTGAGAATTAGGTTCAGCAAGTTTACTCTGGCATTTCCAGGCCCGAGATTAACCCAACTTAAAGTGCCAAAAACTGCAGTTCGAATTGTTCATAACTGGCAATAGACAACTTAGACACCATTTCTGCCCCCACCCTCGTCTGGACCACTTCCCATTTTAAAACAGCCCATTGTTTTGTTTTCAGAGCTGATTTCCGGAGCTCTCCAGTAAGTGAATGTTGTTCGCTCCTGTGTTTCCGTCTAACCTTCACTTTCTATCAATCTCCCTCAGACCTTTTGCCCTTTATCAGACAATAGGACACAGTTATCTCTTCCCTGTTAGAGTAACACCTATTGTTTCAAAGATATGCTGCTAGTAGCTACCAGAGAAAACAAGAGTGCTATCATCCTTCTGTTTGGTTGTACGAGTAAGCTTTCCCAGGAGAGTTTGTATCCAGTGATGCACAGAACTGCATAAAAAAAGCCTTATAGACAACTGACAGTACACCAGTAGTGTTATTATTCTATTGCTGCCACATTCTGCAATAAAAATTTATTTTATAAATGCACAACTAATGAAACAGACTTGTCTGTTGCCTCTTTGTTTCAGACCCTGTGTTGGTAATGTGAGTTTCTCCAAAGGGTCCTTGGACTTGGGGAAAGTTCCTGCAGTGCAAATGTGGCTTTTACAGTTTCAGTCACTAGTGGTTTGGTGAGGCTGCACTTTGGCAGAGTCAGGCTTTAGCTAAATGCTAAAATACTCATGACACTGCAGCTCTTATTATGGTATCGGTTCAGTAGATATTTGATGATAAAGGTATTTTGACTAAGTAGCAGTTTCACCTGATGATCACACTAGAGCGTTGGTTCTCAAACTGTGGGGTAGTCCCTGCTGACAAGCCACAGTGACACTGCAGCTGGAACATGGACAACCAGGTGAAAATATTTTTAAATAAACGTCAATGTGGGGGTCTGAGTCATCCATGTTTTAAGCACTGAAGTTGAAGGAAACGGCTTGTTTTTAGGTTTATGAAGGACTTTGACCTCTATACGTCTGAATAAACCTCTCAGATGAGAGCTGAAACATCTACAAGAACCTTAAAAGAAGTTTAGCTGCCTACTGTAATTCATTATTATCAGGATGTCCAAAAAACTCACTGAAAAGCCTTCAGCTAATCCAAAATGCTGCAGCAAGAGTACTGACAGGGACCAGAAAGAGAGAACATATTTCTCCTGTTTTGGCTTCCCTTCATTGGCTTCCTGTTAAATCCAGAATTGAATTCAAAATCCTGCTCCTCACATACAAGGTCTTAAATAATCAGGCCCCATCTTATCTTAATGACCTTGTAGTACCATATCACCCTATTAGAGCACTTCGCTCTCGCTCTGCAGGCCTACTTGTAGTTCCTAGAGTTTTTAAAAGTAGAATGGGAGGGAGAGCCTTCAGTTTTCAGGCCCCTCTTCTGTGGAACCAGCTTCCAGTTTGGATTCAGGAGACAGACACTATCTCTACTTTTAAGATTAGGCTTAAAACTTTCCTTTTTGCTAAAGCATATAGTTAGGGCTGGACCAGGTGACCCTGAATCCTCCCTTAGTTATGCTGCAATAGGCTGCCGGGGGATTCCCATGATGCACTGAGTTTTTCCTTTCCAGTCACCTTTCTCACTCACTATGTATTAACAGACCTCTCTGCATTGAATCATATCTGTTATTAACCTCTGTCTCTCTTCCACAGCATGTCTTTATCCTGTCTTCCTTCTCTCACCCCAACCGGTCGCAGCAGATGGCCGCCCCTCCCTGAGCCTGGTTCTGCCGGAGGTTTCTTCCTGTTAAAAGGGAGTTTTTCCTTCCCACTGTTGCCAAAGTGCTTGCTCATAGGGGGTCATATGATTGTTGGGTTTTTCTCTGTATCTATGAAGCGCCTTGACGCGACTTATGTTGTGATTTGGCGCTATATAAATAAAATTGAATTGAAATTGAATTGAATTGAATTCAGCTCAACAATCAAAGACCATAAAACAAGTTTATTTACTACACATTTTACTAAACTTCACCTTTTTATTCTTAACGCTTAATTACAGTTCATTCTGTATGGCATGAACTTTTTCCAACATGTGAACTAAGCACATTAGAAAAAGCTGGAGAACCAATGTGATAATGAAAAATACAGTTTATCTCAAGGGCACCGTGAACATCCTCGCTGAATTATGTAGGACCTAATAGGTCCTGCAAAGGGCACTGGTGGCATTTTGGTACTCAACAAAGTCCTCGGAGGAGCATGAATTAAAATAATGTGGTGGACCAGCTCTAACTGACATAACCTCCCATAACTTTTCAGTTTCCGCTCAAATGAAAACAGTAAATACTCTCCAAACACTCCCTTTCATCCACATACACAGTCATAAAGTCTCACCTGGCGTGGGATTCGGCTCTTTCGTCGGGTGACACCTGTGTAAAGGAATAAAATGTTAAGTATTTCAAATATGTGACCCCCCCCCCCTCCCCTCCCCATGTGATGAGGGTAGTCTACAATACTTGTATCAAAATCTGTGACAGCTTCATGTAACACAGAGATTCAGTGAAGTATTCAGTATTTACTGTATCAAAGGAAATTTGAGGCTTACCCTGGAGATTGGCAGGGTTTGGGAGAAGTGCTGGTATGTCCGGAGGAAACTGAGAAAGGCGTGTGTTTATCTCCGACTGAGATCTCTGTAGCTGCTGCTTCTAGAGAATAAACCATCACAGGTTTGGTTTCAGACTTCAGAGGAAGAAAAAACCTCAAACACAGTCTCACAGACCTGCCTGAGTTACTTTACAATGTGGATAAGTACATTTTTCCACTTCATATTAAACAAGGGTAAAAGGCGACCCCTGGGCTGTCCTGCTGGCACAGGGATGAAGGCGCTGGTCATGAACTGTATTGTCCTAGGTTGGATCTGTTGCATACAGTTCCAGTTTTTCTCTCTCCCTATTTCCTGTCATTGTTTTACCTTTATCATTAAGAACGTGAAATCCCCCCACCAACACCACCACACCACACACAGACAGACACAGACAGACACAAACACATACATGCACGCACGCACATGCACACACACACACACACACACACACACTGACAAACAAAAACTGTTCCTCAGAACTTGATAACCTGGGTGCACTGGGAAAAAAAATTCATTTTAGTTTAACCCCGTTTGTTTATTACTTGTAGGGGAGTCGCCCCCTGCTGGCTGTTACAAAGAATCCACATTTAAGCCACTTCTACACTGGCTTCATTTTTCAGATCCATCCTCTTTTACACAGTTAGGTTGATATTTTGTTGGACAGTGAAACAGTTTTTGCAGTTTTGCATCTGCACACCACAACAGTGGATTTTAAATCAAACATGACGTGACTGAAGGGCAGCCTTTCAGGTTTTTTTCCCACAGGGGTTTTAAAAAAATACAGACATTTTCAATCCCCCTGTTCAGAGTTTCAAAATTAACTGAACAAACTAAAGAACTAACATTAAATATAAGAACTGTTTTTAATATTTGGATGAAAAATGACTAAGTCTAGAACTCATGGACATCACCAAATCCTGTGTTTCCTCCTTTAAGATGCTCGGGTAAGCCTTTACTGCAGCCTCCTTCAGCTCCTGCTTGTTTGTGGGTTTGCTGCATTCAGTTTTGTGTTTAATAAGTGAAAAGCAGGTTCTTCTAGGCTGACATCAGGTGACTGACCTGACAATTAAGTGAAACTGCGCTGTGCAGTGAAGTCCAATCAGTTTTGCAGCATTTGACTGAATCTGAGCAGACAGTATAGCACTGTATACTTCATCACATGATTAATAAATACCAGCCCTAGCTTGACCGGCAAACATAGACGCTCATGCCAAACACTGAACCCATCGTGTTTGACAGATCATGTCATATGCTTCAGATCATGAACTGCTTTTCTTTTTTCAAGATTCTAGTACGGATTCATTTTGGGTTCATTGGTCCAAAGATTTTTTTCACAGCTGTGCAAAGTCTAATTTGACTTTCTTGTTCTTGAGGTAAGGCGTGTCTCGATTGTAGCCGCTGATAATGACATGCCCGCCTTCTTAAGCGTGTTCTTGACTTGGTTAGATATTTTGAAGGGCTTTTCTTAATCAGGGAAATAATACATCATGTACTTCAGTTGTGTTCTGTGGTCTTTCAGGCATTTTGGTGTTGGTGGTGAACTGGACTGGATATCATGTTTGTTTTCATTTGTCATGAAATAACGACGAAGCAGACTTAGCCTGTCAATTGTTCTGTTACTTGGATAACAGGCTGTAAACTCTAAACACATACACACACACACACACACAATTTTTGAAACCTCTTTGAAGTAAAACTGAAATTCTACAATTTTGATTTAAAATGTGCTGCATCTTTGACCATCAAATTTACTCTGTACAGTGTGCAGTGTGACACCGTGCTCTGCAGTGGTGGGTGTGCCAGAAATACTACTTGGTCAGCAGTGACATGTTTAAAAATATGTCACTATTTATTTTTAATAACTCGCTTGCATTTTGTCGGGGCCAAACACAGCCCTGCTGTTTGGCACTCTGCAAGAATGATCAAGTATTATACAGCTAGTTAGGGTTTTGGGTTGTTTGGTTTTTTTAGAAGACAAGGCTATGGAAGCAATTTGAATAAATCAAGAAGCAGGCAAAACTATGATCTACCAATCTGTGCAGAGCGTTGGAGTGCTGCAGATTAGAATGATTATTTTCTGCTGGTTCTTCATAAAATATACTTAGAACATAGAAAAGTGTCATTTGTGACACTTTCATGTCAGCTTGATGGCATTGCATTTTTTAGAGAGCATAAAGATTTCCAGGAATATTTTCAAACCTGTTCATATTAGACAAGTTTTGCATATTCATGGCAACTTGAGAGGAACCTGTTCTCAGAATGATCTGATAATAACGGGAGCCAGAGCTAAGTTTACATATCCTGTCAGCTATTTTTTTTCTTTTGTTTTTTAATGGCTGCGGTAAAGTTGTTTGCTTTAACACTGGTCATTTTCTCAGCTTTAGAAGTTGTTTTGTTTGCCATGAGGCCCACTGTTGGTTTGAGCTTATATGACATGAGAATTCAAAGTGTTCTTCTCGGTACTTACTGGTTGGGGTTGGGTCTGGCATCTTCTCACAAGACAAGCAGTTCTTTTTGTCATGGGTCCACCTGATGCATCTAAAACCATCCTCGCAGTCACATTTCATATCAGATGTACTGGTGCAGTTCTGAACCACTTTAAGATGAAACTCTGAGAAAGAGTGAAATAGAGATTATTTTAGAGACTATTCATCTCAGTACATGTGGAGTTACCATTAATGGTTTATCAGCTCTTTATAGAAAACCAGAGATCACGGGTATAGCACGATCCTGATGAAATCATTAAAGGTAGAAATGACTCATAGTTTCTTTACTAGGGTTGCAGTCTCCAAAGCAGCGATGGCATTCATCTTCATAGTTCCAGTCAGTTGTGTAACTTCCAGCAGGACAGTGTTCACATGTTGTACAATCACTCTGATACATACCTGTAAGAACAGAAAGAAACCAATGCAAACAACTTGACGACAAGCAGTGTGAGCAGACAGCCTGCACACTCAGAATGCATATTAATGAAGGATGTGGTCATACTGCACAAGCTCAGCCTGCGTCATTTTTCATCAATGCAGAAAAAAAAACAATGCATAGACAGAAGAAAACATACTTCACACCACTGTACAAAATAGAGATTCATTTTTAATAATAATTCTGAGTAAGTTTAAACTGACAAGCAGACAGCAGAATTTTAAAAATATTAATAGAAGCTCACGTAAGGTTATCACACATTTCCTACCTGCAGGACAATATTTACACTCTCTCCCACCAATGTTGTAGGTGTTCTTTGGCTGTCAACACAGATAGATATTAATCACTAAAATGAAAAAGTCCTCATTAACTCATCATCCATGCCACATTCACTCATGTCAACTATTTGTCTTATTTGATAAAAGTGTATGCAGTAATTAAGGCGAATGGGTTACAAAGTCTTACTGTGGGAAAGCTGAGCACCAACTGTGTGGATAACATCAGGAGGGCCACAGAGTATTGCACCAATCCCATTCTGTGGACAGATGTAAAGCTGCCAATCGTCTACAAACACCACTGCGAAAAGGGCAAGGATCAAAATCTATAAAAGCTAACGCAACTACCAAGTTAGTATCACAAATAAAGACTATTACAATAAAACAATAATTGTAAAAGAAAGAAAGAAAGAAAAAAGAAAGAAAGAAAGAAAGAAAGAAAGAAAGAAAACAATTATTTTTACCTTCAGTATGATGTGCCTTTTGTTCTACTTCTGTTGTTTTGCTAACTTCCTCAAGATGTGCCTCACTCTTTCTACTCTCTCTCTCTCTCTCTGTGTGTGTGTGTGTGTCGTTTTACTCACGCTACTGATTCTGTGTCATTGTTTCCTTACCTGGTTATATCTTCCTGTCTTCCTGTTTCCCCCACACTCTGTTCTCTAGCAGGCAGCTAAAACTGACTAACATTTACACGTCAAAGCCTTAAAGCCTAATCATTTTCCATATAAACTGCGACACCTCATGAGGAATAAATAGCCAGAGTAACTATTCTAACTCTTTATTTGAAAAAACAGATGAGCAGATAGTTTGTTTGAAAGTGACGCTTTACCTTTCATTTTAGATTTGAATGCCTCCTTCTTTTTTATCATATTTAAGCACATTTTATTTCTTTTTTTCTGTTTAAACTCAGCTTTAGACCAGGTAATGGATGAGTTTGCTAACTATTGATATGTTGACACTTACCTTTTTCAAGTGGGTTCTTGTAGTCTTTAAGTAGTTTAGTTGAACGTAACAGGACTTCTTTCAAAACCCAGTTACCTTCATGTCCTGTCCCCACTTAAGTTGTATGAGAAAGAGCATCTGACATAAAATCTTAGCCAATTCAAACCTGCGAAAATATCAAGAGTAAGGACGTGCAGAGTGTTGGTGTGACAGAGAAGGAAGAAGTTAAGAACAGAGCAAGTTTGAGACGGATGCTATGCTGTGGTGACCCCTAAAGGGACAAGCAAAAAGAAGAGGAAAAAGAAAAAGAAGCACATTTAAGTTTAATACTAAGGTGGACAGAAAATGCTTTTCTTTCTCACTTTCATTCCCCTCAGTTGGAGTTTTGTTTTCCTCTATGCTGTCTTTAAATGTTTGGACATGAGGAATAAGTTGGATCGTTCAATTTCTATCAACTGCTTTCTATAAACTATTGTTAGTATCTCTGGCTCTCGTCCACAGCGTGCCTTTTGTCCTGTCTTCCTCCTCCCACAACAACTGGGCGTGGCAGATGGCCCCGCCCCTCCCTAAACCTGGTTCTGCCGGAGGTTTCTTCCTGTTAAAAGGGAGTTTTTCCTTCCCACTGTTGCCAAAGTGCTTGCTTTGATTTGGTCATATGATTGTTGGGTTTTTCTCTGTATGCATTATTGTAGGGTCTACCTTACAATATAAAGCACCTTGAGGCGACTGCTGTTGTGATTTGGCACTGTGGGGAATGCTATAAAGCCCATTTATTGTCACTCTGACTGGTCATCCTTACCCATTGCACCTGTACAAAGGAGTGTAGATTTGGAGTGCACTGCAAAGGCGGCTTGGAGTTCCATGTCAGCAGGATACCAGTATATGTTGGAAGATCTGAAGTTTTCCACAGGAATGTACTACCCTACCTATGTCAAAACATGGGAATACCCAGATGGGCAACGCGTGGTTACTACACACTTGGCTGGTGGCCAAGTAACATATTGACAAATGAAACACAGCATTTCTGCAATGACTCTTTTTAGCCCAAAGTGATTTATCTTGATGTACCTAAACACTTTTGTCCTTGTTGTTCATCAATCAAATTTTTTTTAAAATGGTTCTAAAGCTTTTCCAACTTAATTCTTGGAGGAATTCAGCAAGCAAAACAGTTCAACACATATCAACTCAAAGTCTTTATCAGGGTTTTTTTTTGCTTGTTTTTTTGTCCTTACGACATCATTTCCACTGGATATCCAAATACAGCAAATGTCTCACTTTGTCTTAATCAGTGTTTTTTTTTAGTTTCTTTCCAGTATGTAACTGGAGAATCTTGATTTATCTCTAGATTTGAAAGAAAAGTATATATTCAAGACTATATTTCATTTACATACATAATATCAAAGCCATCATACAGTCATTTCACCAAAGCATTTGCATTTCAGTTGTCGATCTTCCTGAAGTGAAAATTTTAAATAGACTTTTCTAAGCACACACTCATAAAGAAAGAGTACTACTGGAAAAATATCTGACTCAATTTTACTGGTGGTCTCCATCAAAAAACAGCTCATTCCATTTGTCATTTTAGGCAACTGCTTTAGACTGTTAGTGAGTTTCATTCTTCTCCTGTGCATCTGAACTAGTAAAAGTCTTCTTAAATTGCTTAGTTATGCTAGAGGCCCCCCCCCAAAAAAAAAAAATAGGACAGATGCACTGAAAAGGTTTAAGATAAAAGATGTGTTTTCTAAAAACTGATAAATATGGTTACAAATCAATACAAATACTATATAGAGATATTTCCAACTAGTGACATCACATAGGCATAATGGGAATGATATACGGGGATTCTAAATATAACGTTACTTTGGACCTCTGACCTCTTCTTCAAAAGTGAAATGAGGTCAAACTGTGATAAAATGCCTTTAACCTTCAAAACCTTTTTTTTGTATTGCCAACATTTAGTAAACTATGGTCCTGGTATACGGGAATTCCGAATATCGCATTACAGTTTGCGTCAAAATATCATGTCACATTTGACCTCTGACCTCACATGTACATTCCACATCTGCCTTTATTTCAAGTTGACCCCAAAATGCATTATATCTTGAAGGAGAGCATGAGCTGCCTAGTTCCACAGCAACATATATTAGTGTAATATTAAATGACAAGCCAAATTATGCATGTCCAATTGCCTACAGGCAGAATGAATATATAGAAAATACAATACTTTACAGGCCTTTTTACTTTTATTATTAACACTGTGCCACTTTCTACGCACATTCACATTAATGTTTATATTTTATGCTGTTGGGATTATCTGTAGATTCTGATCGTAGCTCTTTGATGGTTGAGCTTCATTTTGTTGTTTTCTGTATATATTTCTGCTGACACCACACAGTTTTTCTTTTTCTGCTAATGTTTCTATTCTTATTGCAATGAGTCCCTCGAGATTAATAAAGTTTTTGCCTTGTATAATAATAGAGGTGTGATGGAGGTGGTGTCCACATGACAGCTGTCTGCTGTATGTCTTCCTGTGTAGAAACATGCATGAGTTTAAAGGTGCTCAAAAATGAGGTATGTGATGTGTTCACCGGCAACACTTTTTTCATAAGGAAAGGAAATCTAGATAGAACAAATGTAATAGTCCATTTGGAGTAGGTCAGCATATTTTGTTTTATAGGTTATACTGCTGATTGTTTCTTATGGTACAGTTTTGCTTTGCGCTTCTTTTCCATGTGCAAAACGTAGGTTCAATTCTATACCTTGGTGAAATAGCTTCAGCATCTATATTTAGTTTTTTAAGCAATTTCCTGTTGATTCACAATCTACTTTAAATTTAAAACAGAAAAAAGAAAAAAACGTACTTCCTTCGTTTTCATCACCTTCTCGGAGGTCCTCAAAACTACAAACCTCAAACACTCCAGTGTTCGTGGTATTTCAGATGTGTTTCAGGTGAAATGTTCTAGGTGACACTATTGGTGCCCCAACCTTTCTAAAATTTTCTACAGTATGGAGAAATCCATTTTCTATATTTCTCACTGATAAGCTGACATATATGTATATATTCTCTGAACAGCACTGCTGTACAGAAGGTGGTATGATGTTAGTCTGACACATAATATTTGGAGTTTTCTGCTTTTCTTTTATCTTTTGCTTAGTAAATTAATTAGTTATGAGTTAAGATTGCTTTGTATGTAATTCATTTATTTCAAATACAGAGAGGAGGTGAACTATAAATGCAGATGCAAGGCAGTAAAAAAAGGTTTGTGTATAATGAATGAGTCACGCAATGCTTTCCTGTAAGCACATTTAGTCAGTTGAGGGTCTTCAACTTTAGTCATTTGTATCAGCCGTATAAAGAAGTTATAAATGAAAATACATGGGGGAAAAGATAAAATTATATAAAAATATGTTTTCACAAAAGTTAATAACTTTAATAAATCTTCTTCATTAAAAATGCATACACCTGTTGTAC